TTTTTTTTAATCTATCAAAGATTGGGTCCCAGTTAGCCGAATACTTACAATTTAAACTCATGCACGTTTGTCATCATCATTTTTATTCACATCCTTTCTTTATTTTTTTTTTGTCCTTTTATGGATTAAAAAATTAATTCAAAAGGAATGGAAATAGCCCGCCAGCCGCCTCCCCTTGAATGACGGTCACCCCAACTTCAATAGAGTAGCGATAAATAAATACCTCAAAATGAAATAATTATTTTGGAGTGCTTAAGGCTTATCTGACATTTTTTTTTTGTAAAATTATGATTCTGAACCTCAACAAAATAATAAAAAGTGTAGTTATTAAAATCTAAACTAAAAAGTTGTTAATAACAAAAATAAAATTTTTAATATAAAAAAAATTATTTGGTTAATTATATAACAAGAAGTACAATTTTTATATATCCACGTCAACTTAGTTATTAAAAACCTTAGTTTAAATATAATAACAATAGCTAATAATAAATTATTGAAAAAATATAATTTTAAATTCCTACACTTTGTTCGTGTTTGGCTTTATATTATGTACTTTTTTTGATATTATAAATCCTTATACTTTTATTTTTTGTTTTGGCATTTTAAATTCTTCCAAAGTCCTTACACTTTGTTCATTTAGTGACCTAGAACATAAAATAAAAGTATAGAGACCTAAAATATAAAAAAAAAATACAGGGACTTATAGTAAAATGTGAGTAAAGTAAAGAAACTCAAAGTTATGCTTTCCTAAAATTAATTTAGTCATGCAATAACTTTAAACTTGTCTTAACAACTATACTTTCTATGATTTGTAGATGGTCAAAAATGTTCGCAAAAAAATTATGACTGATAAGTCTCCTGGAATTTCAAAATAATTATCTCACTTTGTGGTGCTCTTTCACCATTTGTCAATTTTGAAGGGATTTTTTTTGTTAAGTGGGTTTTTGGTTAAATAAAAAGAGTAAATAAGATTTACATATGATTGTTTTGAGATTTACGAGTAGTTGTTGTTATGTTCATAATTAACTTTTCCATCAATTCCTTGCTTTTCAAATTTTATAGGTGAGTATATGTACTGATTGACCAAATATTCACATGATAGAATTAAGATTCATAATTTGCTCCTCTAAATTTTTTCACAACGTTGAAAAATATTATTTACAGATAAAGTTTAATAAGAAATGGATTGTTAATTTTTAAAATGAGAATATCGACTTATTGTTTAGCCAAATAATGACTTGTTATTGGTCATTGTTTGTAAATAACATTCTTCAAACGTCAATCTTGAATGCAATTTTTTCAATTCTCAAATTTCTTTCCTAAGAACATATCACAGGTTGTTTTCTCTTTAATTCCTCCAATGGGTTTGACTAAATTTTGAGGACAAAAATTTACAAATGATTGTTTTGATATTCAAAACTAACTGATGCATATCCAGAATCAACTGTCATTGAATCCCAAGTGGCTTTTTAGCGAGTACATGTACTAGCTGACCAAAAATTCATATGTCATTTCTAGGATGCAACATTGACTATAGTAAATTTCCAAAGTTACTTTTCTAAGAAGCACAAGTTGCTTCTCTTAATTTTATAAAATGATTTGTTTATAATTAATAAATACAAAAATTCATAAGTGATTAGTTTGAATTCATAATTGACTGTCGTATATTCACAATTGACTCTTCAATAAATTCCAAGTGGTTTTTCAAAATTTCAAAACTAAGTTTGATATTTGATCAACTATTTTTTTGCATTTGTTTATAAGGGAAATTTTGCAAACTGTTTTTAATTGTAAGCAAGGTCGACCATAGTACTTTAATAGGATTTCAATAATTTAATGTCTAAAATTATCATTAATGTATCTATGGGATCTGCAACTGTCATTTTCCCTTAGTGATTAAGGATAAAATTAATATCTAATTAGTCATAATCAAAATAATATAACTTAACTAAAAAATATTTATATTTGACTATGATTTTTTAGCACTGATGTACAAATTCATAGACTGTCATTTTATCTCATTAACAAATTAAAATTGCAGCATATTAATCTATAAATTTGGAAAATTTCAGCATTTTAAATGACTGACCAAACCTATTAAATTAGAAACCAACTTCTAGTCTGATCCGGTCAATCCCCTTAAACCGAATAGTTGACCAACCGGTCAACAACTGGCTAACCCCAAGTAAAAACCAGCTTAACAGATAAAAAGCAAATCAATTGTAAGCTTATGAATCAGATTAAACTTTTTTTTTAAAAAAAAAAGAAGGCAAAAATTGTAATTTTCACACGGGTGAAGAGTTGTGATCTTTGGATTTAGACAAGCTAACCCCATGCCAACGCCCGCTGCGCCCTCTGCGCATACACCCTCCGGTCATATTACGGGCAATCATCTAAGTGGAGAATTCGCTATCTTTCGATGTGGGACTCGGGGGGTTTTAACATCAGCACTTTGTCTTCTTCGCTTGCATTTTTTTCCCCATGAGTTATTTTAATTATTTCTTGAATTATTTTTTTAGTGCGAGCGCATATAATTAATCCCTATACTTCAAATTATTTATCTGTATTTTTTAAACTTCATTATAATTAACTTACTTTTAAAAAAATCTTCAAAAAGTGCTTGATACTTTATCATTTCTATATACATAATGAATAAGTGCTTTTAAATATATTAAATAAGTTCAGATATATTTTAGAAAATTCCATCTTTAATATAACATCACATGACATTAAAAATATATTAATTAGTCATGCTTGGTTCAACTACAATCTGACCGTTAATTCTTGAATCAATGTCTTGTTCGATTCAATGAACGATTCGATTTTTAAAACCTTAGAAAATTTCATATCCATTAGATAGATCAAATTCCAATGCAATTATTGATCAGTTTTAATTAACACAACTTTTAGCCCCATACCTCAAGTTAATTTATATTCCACGTTTTTAACCCTAGCAAATATGATATATTTGTTTTTTGCATTCTAAGACAGCGGCAGTCAATGCATGCGTAACCTTCCATTTCATACTTTAGCTTTAGTCCTAATCCAATATGATGAGCACTTATTATCTTGCGAGAATTCGAATTCGCCTCACGTTTTGATTGCAGTGGTAGTTCTTTAAATTATCTCTGACATATAATAATATTGAATATGGGTGATTATTTTCCAGTTCTAAAAAAATTTGTTGAAACATTAATTTTTAAAAAATTGTATACATCTTTTCAATTATATCCTAATTAAATGTTCTATAATAATGTTTAATAATAATGAACGTTGAAATGTCGAGAGATTATTTTTTTTTAAGAGCAATAATAAATGAAGTAAAGTTATAGTTGAAAAAAAAAAGCTATAACAACTATCTAATACCTTATATTTTGGACTAAGTAAATTTTTTATTTAAAAAAAATCCCTTTCCATATGGGAGAGTCGATTCTTGTAAAATTCACAATTAGTAGCTTAAGGTTCGAGTCTGAAATAATCACGGATACATGTATTAAAGTTAAAATAAGTCGCACTCAAACTGTAGTCTCTTTAATTTGATTTTAGAAGTTATAATATTTTTTAAGAAAATTAATTATAATACACGTTTTTTTAATTATCAAGATTACTTTGATTTGGTTTTGTCTTCCTCAGTTGGTTCCCAGTCAGTCGAATTAATGCTTATTATTTAAATTTATGCACGTTATATTTGATGGTCGGGGATAAGATCGATGTTAGGTGGACTATGATTAAAATAATATAATTTAATTAAAATATATAAAATATCTACATATGTTTAACATTGATATGCAAATTCATAGACTGTTGCTTTCGCTGGGCGTTGATTGACATTCTCCTGTTATTTTCTCGGATTACGTAATGCATGCACTGTTACATAAATGAAATTTAGGAGCACACATTTAGTAACAAGTATCATAGCAAATGCTCCTAAGTGTGTGTTTGCTCTGTGGAAACGCTACCTCATATACTTTGTTTTATTTTATTTTATTTTTTTAAAAAATATATATTCAAGAGGTAGTGTTTCTTTCAAAGAAAAGCTATACATCTTGTCATGCGGTCCTCTTTTAAGTCTATATATTCCCTAGTAGTATTTATAAGTTAGGCAGAGAGTATCTGAATTAATGACGTTGTGAGAAGCGGCAGCAGCATTTGCTAAAGTATATTCGTGTTGGTAAGAGATTTATCTGAATATGGCCGATGTAATAATTAGTTACATGCCAAAGAGATAACATCGCACTGGTCCAATCCCTAAGCACGTACTTCCATTATGTCTTTGTTGAAAGATTAATTGAATACTTCCAATCGCAGTAATAATTAAGAATCTAAGAACAATCTTTTAATTTGTCTTCGAGCGGTGGCTAATTATGGGCGAGGATTACTACTAATTAAACTTTACTCCACTGTTTCATACATTTTAAAAAAATTAATTTTTTTCTTGATATTATAAAAAAGTAAGATGTACTTTCATTTTTATCCTTTGCATTAAATAATAATATAACTGCATTAAATACATTCATGCTGGTGAAGAAGAGATAAATTTAGAAAAAATAGTTTAATTATTATAAAGTGTCCTATATTTTAGATTAAAAATTACTTCTACAAGGTGTATTATAAATAAAACCGAAGGGAGCATAACACACGTTTTTCATCATCAGTCAATATAATCAAGATAAGGCGGTTTCCTTCTGGAACTAACAGGATTAATTAGTAGTCTTCCTTCATCATTCCAATCATTCCACTTGTAATGTATATGTCTATATATAGACCTGACAAAGGGAGAGCGAGATATATACCGTCCTTCAGCAATCAACAAATTCATTTCCAAGTCTAATAATCAAGCAAAATGGTAGGCATTATACCATCATCTTCATCATTTTCTTCCCTCATTAACATGCTCATGGGTTCTTACTCTTTGGTTTGTGGTCAGGGGTCCTTGGGAGCAGTAATTTCATTAGGACCTTGGGGAGGTCCTGGTGGCGACAATTGGAGTTTCAAGGCAAGCCGAGGGATAACACAGATAATCGTCCATGAAGATGTTGTTATAAAATCAATTTTTTCAAAGACGCCAATGGTTATGTTTCTGGAAAATTCGGCAGTGCTGGGGGTCAAGAGAGGAAGGTGATCACTTAATTGCTTAATTAATTGATTGAATATATTCAATTACAATTGTCATTTTAATTACTTACCTTATTATGATGTAATTGTAGACTGAAATTCGTTGGCCTTCAGAGTATTTGAAATCCATAAGCGGGACCTATGGAAATCACACTGGAAATCTAGTAATTAGGTCCCTATCGTTGATCACAAATCTCACCACTTATGGACCTTTTGGAACAACTGCTGGTGGCGAGCCTTTCTCTATCCCAATAGCAGATAGTGTCATTGTTGGGTTCCATGGGAGAGCTGGTTTTTTCCTGGATGCAATTGGCATTTTTGTGCAACCCGTAAGTAATTTTTTTTTTTCCTACCTCAGTATTTTTACATTCATACATATACTCCCTCTTCCAGTCTAAAATATAAGCATTTTTTTCACATAATCTTGATTGAAAATATAAGCAACTTATTCTGTAAAAGAATTTTTTTTTACTTTATCCCTTGTGTGTAATAACCTAGATACTTGTATTTGTGAATTTATGATATTTTTCTCACTTATCATATATTGGAACTAATGGAGAAAGGAAAAAATAATATATATTTTCATGAAAATAACATTTTTTATTAGTTTTGATATGATTGTTTAAAGCTTATATTTTTAACAGGAAAGATATATATATATATATATATATATAAGGGAGAATGACATCAAAGTCACAAAAAGGATTGATGACTACATATAAGCTGCAAATATTAATTAGTTATTGAATATGAATTGCAAATATTAATTTAAAAGTTGCAAATATGAATATCATCAATTACAATTTATATGACTTTTTTTTTTTTTGATAATTGAGACTCTAGAATTTACAATTATTTAAATTGATATTTACAATTTATTTTGAAAAAAAATTTATCAAGAAGTTATTTATCATTAATTTTATCTCCTGGCACTTAATTGTCATTTTCCTCATATGAAATATATAATGGATATCATGTATATGTATTACATTTAATTTGATTCTTCTTAGAAGCATAGACTACATATATATATATATATATATATGACAGTTGGTTTTGGTTTAGGTACAAGCGGATGCATCTGGAAGCATTTCATTTGGGCCTTGGGGTGGCTCAGGTGGAAAAGCATTTGATTTTAGAGTGGGAAGTTGGATAAAAGAGATCATTGTTGATGCACCAAAAACCAATATCAAGTCCATCGCTTTTACGGACGCCAATGGGCACAAGTATGGAAAATTTGGTGGCAAGGATACAGATGGAACTAGCGATGAAAAAAAAGTAAGTCGGGAATTTATTTTATGTAAGGCTGGTAATTCTGATCCATCCAAATAAACTTAGAAATTTAAGGTTGGGCTTAGTAAAATAACGTAATTTTATTGTTCGAGCCAACTGGAATATCTTTGAAAAAATTTGGACTAAGCTCAATTAAATTTCGGCTTTGTGATAATACCCGAATAACAATTAAATTTTTAAAAGATATATTTAAAAATAACAAATATTAATTAATTTTTTAAGTTTTAGTTTAATTTATATCGAGGAATCATATATTTGAGCATGTTATTATAGATAGTTTCTTAAAAAATTAAAAATATTAATATTTTAATATTCTATTATATTTAATCTATAAAATATCTTAAAATAATATTTAAAATCTATTTTAATCTTGATTTCTAACCTGGCTCTAATGAGCTCAGCCTGCCCATATTACTAGTTCCAATTTGATGCAGGGCATGCATGCATTGGATAGGAAATCAAATGAATCATTTCTTGCAAATATATAGATCATCCTTATTTGGTCAAGCCAAAATTTACTACGCCTACGTATATTTATGTTCCATGATGCAATTTTGACTTGTTAATTAATGTGTAGATTGAGATTAACGGACTTTCAGAGTATCTGACATCAATAAGCGGGACATATGGAAATTACGTTGGACTCAATGTGATCACATCATTATCATTCACAACCAATCTAACCACCCACGGACCTTTTGGGGCCACCACTGGGACTTCTTTCTCCTTACCAATACAAGGTTCTCTTGTGAATGGATTCCATGGAAGAGCAGGCGATTTCCTTGATGCAATTGGCATCCATGCCAAACCAGTAAACATTTTTTCCTATAATATATATATTAATAGGAAATATATAATTTTACTATGGCAAATAAGTGGAAAAGATGATGATGATGATGATGATGCAGTGGGATGACATAGAAGAAAGCATTTCAATAGGTCCATGGGGAGGCTCAGGTGGGAGTCCTTGGAGTTATGCAACAAATGAAGGCATAAACCAGATAGTCATCAATGTAGGGTCAAACATCAAGTCCATATCATTCCAAGACACAACTGGTATTGCCTCTGCAACATTTGGCGGCAACAATCCCAATGATCTTGGTGAAAGGAAAACTGTAAGACTTGTTCTGTTTACGGGAAAAAAACTTTGTTAATTGAGCACTTGTATATATTTTGGTTTAATTTATATGCATGATGATTTGCTGCAGGTTCAAATTAACTGGCCTTCTGAGCACCTGATATCCATAAGTGGGACTTATGGAGCATTTGCAAGGCTGCAAACGATCACGTCGCTGTCATTCACTACAAATCTAGCCACATATGGTCCTTTTGGAAGCAGTTCAGGCACTTCTTTCTCCATCCCTATAAGCAATAATACGATCGTTGGATTTCATGGAAAGGCTGGTGACTACCTTGATGCCATCGGCATCTTCGTCAAACCTGAAAATTCCATCTAATTTATGATTTATACGAATGCCCCTTGCAATATTTACTGCTATGATGTGTTGGTGTGCGAGTGTTTTTTTAGTTGTCACGTACGGTTGCTTTCAAGGGTTTTTAATAATTGCTCTTGTTTTCAAGGGTTTTATTGGATCTGTATCCATGTTGTCGCGACTTTAGCGGAATGAATGTACTACTGCTGCTTTTAGAGGAATAAAGAGACTGCGATCTATATCCACTCGGATGTTCACTGATTTGATGCTTCAAATCTACCTTTGGAATGACGTCCGCGCGCATAGGATAGAATCAGGAAGTTTGCGGTTATAATCAGCATCGATCATTATCATGTCCACACGTGCTGATAAGTCCTTAGAGATTCCTGAACAATTGTCTCATTTGTGGTACTATTTTGTCATTTGTCAATTTTTGAATGAAAGGAAAGATCTAGGCAAAATCACAACAAAATCCCTCTGAATATATAAATGACAATTTGATAATTTAAAATACCATAATTCTTATAAAATTTTTAGGAGTTTTTCTGTCATTAATGAATCTATATAAATTATAAAATTGCCCTTATTAAAAATAAATAATTTATAAATTTTTTTCTTATATTCACGACTTTTTTTCATAAATTCACAACAATACAATAGCAAATCACAACATCTCATATTAAATTCTTTATTAACTATTGTATTGTTGCGAATTTAAGAAGAAAAGTTACGAATATAAAAATAAAAATTATGAATCATTTATTTTTAACTAGGACAATTTGCTAATTCATATAAATTCATTAATGATAGAAAAACTCCTAGAGATTTCAGAGAAATTATAACATTTTAAGAGACCAAATTTTTATTTATATATTTTAAAAGGATTTTGTTGTTATTTTTTTCAAAGATCTATTAAATAATCAACAAAACTGTGTGAAAAATTTTAAGAGGATTTATTTGTCAAGTAGTTTGAATATTAAAAATAACGTAAAATATACAACTGATTATCTTGAGATTTACAACTAACTACTGTATATTCATAATTAACTTTTCATCAAATACCAAGTAGCTTTTCAAAATTTTATTAGGTGAGTACATGTACTGATTGATCAAATATCCACATGTTAGTATTAAAATTCAAAATTGATTCCCTTAAATTTTCAAGAAAAAATCATATCCAAGGACTTAACAAAAATATTATTCACATATAAGGATTAATAAAAAATAAATTGTTAGTTGTTAAAATGAAACATGAATTTGTTTTTCTTTAAACGGTGACTTGTTATTGGTCCTTGTCTGCAAACAACATTCTTTAAAGGTCCTTGAATGTCATTTTCTTAATTCTCAACTCTTTTTTTTCCCCTCAAAATCACAAGTTGTTTTCTTTAATTTCTCAAATGGGTTTGACTAAATTTTGAGAACAAAAATTCACAAACGGTTGTTTTGAGATTCACAATTAACTGTTGAATATTCAAATCCAACTATCCATTGAATCCCAAAGTGGCTTTTCAAGATTCCACAAGTGAGTATATGTACCAACTGACTCAAAATTCATATGTTGGTCCTTGGATTCACAATTAACTCCAGAATATTTCCAACTTACTTTTTCAAGAATCACAAGTTGCTTCTCTTAATTTTGCATGTAGTTTGTTTATATATTAATAAATACAAAAATTTATAAGTAATTAATTTGGGATTCATAATTGACTATTGTATATTCACAACCGACTCTCCCACAAGTCCTAAGTGGTTTTTCAAAATTTCACAACTAATATCAATGTTTGATCAGCCATTTTTCGCATTTGCTTATAAGGGCAATTTTGTAAACTCATATATATGTTTAATTGCAAGCAAGGACCATGTTCCGGTAATAGGATTTCAATAATGCAAGGTTGTCATTTTCCCTTAATGATTAGGGATAAGATTAACATCTGATTAGTCATAATGAAAATAATGTAATTTAACTAAAATATAAAAATATTTATACTTGACTATGATTTTTTTTTAGCACTGATCATTAACACAATAAAATTGCTGCATATCTATTTATAAATTTTAAAAATTTTCATACCCATATGATAGACCAAATTCAACACAACTTTTAGGCTCAAAACCTCAAGTTAATTATATTCCAAGGTTTTAGCCCTAACAGATAGGATAGATTTTGTTTTTTGTTTTTTTTTTTTTTTTTTTTGCATTCTAAGCGAACGGTATACAGTGCATGCATACCCGTCCATTTCATACTTTAGCTTTAGTCCTTATCGTATGATGAGCACTTATTATTATATTCTCTCTGATATATAATAATATTAAATATTGATAACTACTTCACATTTTTTAAAAAAATTGTTTGAAATATTAATTTTTTAAAAAATTATATACATATTTTCAATTATACCCTAATTAAATGTCCTATAACAATTTTTAATAATGATGACAATTGAAATTTTAAGAGATTATTTTCAAAAAGAAATAATAGATGAGGTAAAGTTATAACTGAAAAAAATTATAACAACCATTCAATACCTTATATCTTGGACTAAGAACAATTTCTTGGAAAAAAAAAAAGAATCCCCTTACCATAGGGGAGAGTCGACTCTTGTAAAATTCACAATTATTAGTAGCTTAATGTTCGAGTCTGAAAGATTTACGGATACATGTATTAAAGTTAAAAAGTCACACTCATACTGTAGTCTACTTGATCTTAGAAGTTATATTTAAAAAAAATAATTATAATACACGTTTTTTTTTTAATTATCTAGATTACTTTGATTTGGTTTTGTCTTCCTCACTCGGTTTCCAGTCAGTCGAATTAATGCTTATTATCTAAAGTTATGCACGTTTATTAAACCGGTGGATGTAGTATAGTTTTAATGGTCCCTTTGGCCCAAAAAAAAAAAATTACAGTTTAATGGTCAGGGATAAAATCAATGTTAGGTTAATTACGATTAAAATAGTATAATTCAATTAAAATATATAAAATATCTATATTTGACTTTGATGTTTAGCACTGATATACAAATTCATAGACTGTTGCTTCCCCTGGGCGTTGATTGACATTCTCCTGTTATTTTTCTCCGATTACACAATGCATGCACTGTTACATAAATGAAATTTAGGAGCACACATTTAGTAACAATTATCATAGCAAATGCTACTAAGTGTGTGTTCGCTTTTGCTCTGAGGAGACGCTACCTCATATTTTTTAATTTTTTTAAAAAATATATATATTCAAGAGGTAGGGTTTCTTCCAAAGAAAAAGATATACATCTTGTCATCCTCTTTTAAGTCTATATATTCCTTTAGTAGTATTTATAAGTTAGGAAGAGAGTATTTAAATTAATCACGTTACTGTGAGGAGTAGCAGCACCTTCTGCTAAAGTATATTCGTGTTGGTACGAGATTTCTCTAAATATGGCCGATGTAATAATTAGTTACATGCCAGAGAGATAACATCGCACTGGTCCGATCCCTAAGCACATATTTCAATTATGTCTTTGTTGAAAGATTTATTGAATACTCCCAATTACTTACCTTTTGGAACAACTTCTGGTGGCAAGCCTCTGTCTTTCCCCATAGCAGATAGTGTCGTTGTTGGTTTTCATGGGAGAGCTGGTGATAGAGGATGCGGAAGAAGAATCATGTTAATTTATAAATAAAACCCTGAAACACAACAAAAACAAGAAAGGGACGAAATTTATGACGAAAATAAAGAAATAAATAAAATAAATAATGGAATAATGATCAAGAAGAAGATCCTCTAGAGTACCTATCTCTAGAAACTTTAATTTTTGGAGACACTACAAGAGTTGATCACGTTCTTGATCACATTTATTTTTCACATGGGATGTCACGACAAATCATTAAGACTCATAATAGTTATAAACTCTAAAATTTCTTTTCTTTTTCCAAGAGGGAGTACGCCTAATATTTATATATTGGCTCACAAAAAAAAGACTATTTTCTAAAATTAAAACTATAATTTTCTAATACTGAAAGAAGAATGAAAATAATATAAAATAAAGAAAAAAATTTAGACACATAATTTAGGAGATGTCATCCTAAAATTATAAGATTACAAAACTTAAAACATAATATAATAATTCTAATCTTTGATTAGCCTCAAAATAGAAAATTATGACTAATATTGATCCTTAAGAAAGGAAGTTAAGTCAAAGGAACACTAAATTAGAAAATAATTAATGAGATAATTAAGAAATCATAAATGACTCAAAATCACACCACCCTTAATCTCTTCACTAGAGTTTCATACCTCCTTGTGTGTAACAGGCTCCACTTATAACCTTTCTTGTATTGGATTATAGTCTGCATTTCTTAAACTTGGCTCTTCTTGAATTTAGACTTGTAACACACCCTTCTTTATGAAATGGAACTTCTAAATGGATGTTTATATCACTATTCACGTCCATACGCACGCACGAGTTACTTGAGCAACCATTTGGGCTTGAATAATGTTCATTCAGGTTCTTGTACCCCAACAAATATGATAGATTTTTGTTTTGTTTTGTTTTTTTTTTTCCTCAAGCTACAAGAACTTGTCAAATGGGTAATATCCACGTGTTCTCTCATGCCTGGCCGTCGCCCTTTCACATGAAAAGCCACCACTTGACTGTAACAATTAGGGCTCTTTTTGTCCTGATGGGACGGATTCATTTCATTTATTGCTTGGATTCATTTCATTTATTGTTAATTCACAGCTTTGTCATGTTATTGCTTTGATTATACCACATTCTTCCTAAATTAAAAGAGACTTTTTTAAAAATTTAATGTTATAAAATATAAAAAATAACAAAAATAAAATTTTATTAATGATATTTTTTAATATTATTTTTTATTATATTTTCTCTCTTCAATATTTTTCATAAATAAAATATTAAATAAAAAGTATTTTTAAAAATTTATAGTTTTATTTTTAAAAGAAATAAAGTTGTAAAGTGTATTTAATAAATTTTATTAGTATGTGTAATTTTATTTAAAAAATATCTTATAATTTAAGATGAAGTGAGTGTGACACTTGCTTTATTGTTGTGCAAATGAAATGATAAATAAGTATCATGAAATGGAATAATTAGTTTGGTTGAAACATTAATTTTGGTTGAAACATTAATTTTTAAAAAAATTATATACATCTTTTCAATTGTACCCTAATTAAGTGTTCTATGATAATGTTCTAATAATAATGCACACTGAAATGTCAAGAGATTATTTAAAAATAATAATAAATGAAGTAAAGTTATAGCTAAAAAAAAAAGTTATAACAACTATGTAGTACCTTATATTTTGGACTAAGTAAATTTTTTCTTAAAAAAAAAAGCCCCTTTCCATATGGGAGAGTCGATTCTTGTAAAATTCACAATTAGTAGCTTAAGGTTCGAGTCTGAAATAATCACGGATACCTGTATTAAAGTTAAAATAAGTCACATTCATACTGTAGTCTCTTTAATTTGATTTTAGAAGTTATAATATTTTTTTAAAAAAATTAATTATAACACACGTTTTTTTAATTATGAAGATTACTTTGATTTGGTTTTCTCTTCCTTATTTGGTTTCCAGTCAGTCGAATTGATAATTATTATTTAAACTTATGCACGTTATATTTGATGGTCAGGGATATGATCGATGTTAGGTTAATTAACTATGATTAAAATAGTACAATTTAATTAAAATATATAAAATATCTACATATGTTTAACATTGATATGCAAATTCATAGACTGTTGCTTTCCCTGGGCGTTGATTGGCATCTCCTGTTATTTTTCTCGGATTACGTAATACTATTACATAAATGAAATTTAGGAGCACACATTTAGTAACAATTGCCATAGCAAATGCTACTAAGTGTGTGTTTGCTCTGAGGAAACACTACCTCATATTTTAATTTTTTTTTTGAAAAATATATATATTCAAGAGGTAGTGTTTCTTTCAAAGAAAAAGCTATACATCTTGTCATCCGATCCTCTTTTAAGTCTATATATTCCTTATTAGTAATTATGAGTTAGGAAGAGAGTATTTTAATTAATGACGTTGTGAGAAGCAGCAGCAGCTTCTACTAAAGTATATTCGTGTCGGTAGGAGACTTGCCGGAATATGGCCGGCGTAATAATTAGTTACATGCCAAAGAGATAACATCGCACTGGTCCGGTCCCTAAGCACGTGCTTCAATTATGTCTCTGTCGAAAGATTAATTGAATACTTCCAATCGCAGTAATAATTAAGAATCAAGGACGATCTTTTAATTTGCCTCGAGCAGTGGCTAATTATGGGCCGGGATTATTACTAATTAAACTTTACTCTCGTTAATCCTTATTACAAAACACTTTAATCGTTGTATATATTTTTAAAAAAATTAATTTTTTTTATATTATAAAAAAGTGAGATGTGCTCTCATTTTTACTATTGACTTTAAATAGTAATACAACTATATTAAATACATTCACACTAATCAAGAAGAGATAACATTGATAAAAGTGGTTTAGTTATTACAAAATATCTCATGTTTTAGATCAAAAATTACTTCCATATGGTACTCCCTTTGTTTCAAATTATAAAATAATTTTAGACAAAATCTCACATACCAATAAACATCATTAAATATACTTAACAACTTTATCTTTCCAAAATAAAAATATAAACTTTCAAAAACATCCATCATTTAATATATTAAAAAGAGAAGAGACAGAGATTAATTATAGAGAGAGAAAAGATAATATTAAAATTGATACATTTAATGAAACCTTAATTGACTCAAACTGTCTTATATTTTTGAACAGAAAAACTTTTTCAAAAGTGTTTTATAATTTGAAATAGAAGGGGTATCTTATAAATAAGATCGGAGGGAGTATAATGGTTGAAACATTAATTTTTTTAAAAAAAATTATATACATCTTTTCAATTATACCCTAATTTAATATTCTATAATAATGTTTTAATAATAATGAACGTTGAAATGTCAAGAGATTACTTTTTTTAAAAAAATAATAAATGAAGTAAAGTTATAGTTGAAAAAAGTTATAAAAACTATGTAGTGTCTTCTATTTTGGACTAAGTAAATTTTTTCTTTAAAAAAAAATCCCTTTCCATATGGGAGAGTCGATTCTTGTAAAATTCACAATTTGTAGCTTAAGGTTTCAGTCTGAAATTATCACGGATACATGTATTAAAGTTACAATAAGTCACACTCATACTGTATTCTCTTTAATTTGATTTTAGAAGTTATAATATTTTTTAAAAAAAATTAATTATAATACACGTTTTTTTAATTATCAAGATTACTTTGATTTGGTTTTCTCTTTCTCACTTGGTTTCCAGTCTGTCGAATTGATAGTTATTATCTAAACTTATGCACGTTATATTTGATGGTCAGGGATAAGATTGATGTTAGGTTAATTAACTATAATTAAAATAGTATAATTTAATTAAAATATATAAAATATCTACATATGTTTAACATTGATATGCAAATTCACAGACCATTGCTTTCCCTGGGCGTTGATTGACATCTCCTGTTATTTTTCTCGGATTACGTAATACTATTACATAAATGAAATTTAGGAGCACACATTTAGTAACAATTGTCATAGCAAATGCTACTAAGTGTGTGTTTGCTGTGAGGAAACGCTACCTCATATTTTAATTTTTTTTTGAAAAATATATATATTCAAGAGGTAGTGTTTCTTTCAAAGAAAAAGCTATACATCTTGTCATCCGATCCTCTTTTAAGTCTATATATTCCTTAGTAGTAATTATGAGTTAGGAAGAGAGTATTTTAATTAATGACGTTGTAAGGAGCAGCAGCAGCTTCTACTAAAGTATATTTGTGTCGGTAGGAGACTTGCCGGAATATGGCCGATGTAATAATTAGTTACATGCCAAAGAGATAACATCGCACTGGTCCGATCCCTAAGCACGTGCTTCAACTATGTCTCTGTTGAAAGATTAATTGAATCCTTCCAATCGCTGTAATAATTAAGAATCAAGGACGATCTTTTAATTTGTCTCGAGCAGTGGCTAACTATGGGCCGGGATTACTACTAATTAAACTTTACTCCTATTACTTCTTATTATAAGATACTTTAGTCATTGCACATATCTTAAGAAAAATTAGTGTTTTTTTTGATATTATAAAAAAGTGAGATATACTTTCATTTTTATTATTAATTTTAAATAATAATACAACTATATTAAATATATTTACACTAATCAAGAAGGGATAACATTAAAAAATAGTTTAATTATTACAAAGTGTCTTATGTTTTAATTCAAAAATTACTTCCACAAGGTACTCCCTTTATTCCCAATTATAAGACATTTTTAGATAAAATTTTACATACCAATAAACCTCATTAAATATACTTAATAATCTTATCTTTTCAAAACAAAAATATAAAAATTTTCAAAAACATCCATCATTTAATATATTAAAAAGAAAAGAGATGAAAATTAATTATAAAGAGAGAAAAGGTAATATTAGAATTGGCGCATTTAATGAAATCTTAATTTACTCAAAGTGTTTTATATTTTCGGACGAAAAAGCTTTTTCAAAAGTATCTTATAATTTGAGATGAAAGGAATATCTTATAAATAAGATTGAGGGAGTATAACGCACGTTTTTCATCATCAATCAATATAATCAAGATAAGATGGCGTCGTTCTAGAACTAGCAGGCTTAATTAGTAATCTTCCTTCATCACTCCACTTGTAATATACATGTCTATATATAGACCTGACAAAGGGAGGGCAAGATATACACCATCGTTCAGCAATCAACAAATTCATTTCCAAGTCTAATAATCAAGCAAAATGGTAGGCATTATATCATCATCTTCATCATTTTCTTCCCTCATTAACATGCTCATGGGTTCTTACTCTTTGGTTTGTGGTCAGGGGTCCTTGGGAGCAGTAATTTCATTAAGACCTTGGGGAGGTCCTGGTGGCGACAATTGGAGTTTCAAGGCAAGCCGAGGGATAACACAGATAATCGTCCATGAAGATGTTGTTATAAAATCCATTTTTTTCAAAGACGCCAATGGTTATGTTTCTGGAAAATTCGGCACTGATGGGGGTCAAGAGAGGAAGGTGATCACTTAATTGCTTAATTAATTGATTGAATATATTCAATTATAATTGTCATTTTAATTACTTACCTTATTATGATGTAATTGTAGACTGAAATTCGTTGGCCTTCAGAGTATTTGAAATCCATAAGCGGGACCTATGGAAATCACACTGGAAATATAGTAATTAGGTCCCTATCGTTGATCACAAATATCACCACTTATGGACCTTTTGGAACAACAGCTGGCGGCGACCCTTTCTCTATCCCCATAGCAGATAGTGTCATTGTTGGGTTCCATGGGAGAGCTGGTTTTTTCCTGGATGCAATTGGCATTTTTGTGCAACCGGTAAGTAATTTTTTTTTATTACCTCAGTATTTTTACATGCATACATATACTCCCTCCTGCAGTCTAAAATAAAAGCATTTTTTTTCACATAATCTTGATTCAAAATACAAGTAACTTAGTCTGTAAAAGATTTTTTTGTTTACCCCTTATATTTATTAACCTAGATACTTGTATTTGTGAATTTATGACATTTTTCTCACTTATCATATGTTGGAACTAATAGTGAAAAGGAAAAATGTATATATTTTCATGAAAATAAATTTTTTATTAGTTTTTATATGATTGTTAAAAGCAGCTTATATTTTTAACAGAAAAGAATATATATATATATATATATATCTATATATATAAGGGAGAATGACACCAAAGTCACAAAAAGGATTGCTGACCAGGTCATCGATATGTTTTTCTTAAAAAAATGAGTTATAAATATTAATTCAAAAAGTTGCAAATTTGAATATCATCAATTACAATTTAAAAGTCTTTTTTTTGGGTAATTCAGACTCTAGAATTTACAATTATTTAAATCAATATTTATAATTTATTTTATAAAAAAATATATCAGGAACTTATTTATTATTAATTTTATCTGTTGAGATTTAATTGTCGTTTTCCCTATATGAAATATATAATGGATACCATGTATATGTATTACATTTAATTTGATTCTTCTTAGAAGCATAGACTACATATATATATATATATATATATATGACAGTTGGTTTTGGTTTAGGTACAAGCGGATGCATCTGGAAGCATTTCATTTGGGCCTTGGGGTGGCTCAGGTGGAAAAGCATTTGATTTTAGAGTGGGAAGTTGGATAAAAGAGATCATTGTTGATGCACCAAAAACCAATATCAAGTCCATCGCTTTTACGGACGCCAATGGGCACAAGTATGGAAAATTTGGTGGCAAGGATTCAGATGGCACTAGTGATGAAAAAAAAGTAAGTCGGGAATTTATTTTATATAGAATCAATAATTCTGACCAATCTAAATAAACTTAAAAAACCTTTAACGTTAGGCTTAGTAAATTAACATAATTTTAATGTTCGAGCCAATTGAAATAGATTCAAAAAAAAAATTTGGACCAAGCTTAATTAAATTTCAGCTCTGTGATAATACTCAAATAACAATTAGTTTTTTTAAAAATATATTTAAAAAAGTAAATATTAATTAATTTTGAAGTTTTAGTTTAATTTATATCGAGGAATCATACGCTTGGGAGGAATCATACGCTTGGGCATATTATTATAGATACTTTCTTAAAAATTAAAAATATTATTATTTTTTTATTTTTATTATTTTTAGTCTATAAATATCTTAAAATAATATTCAAAATGTATGTTAATCTTGATTTCTAACCCAGTTCTAATATTACTAGTTCCAGTTTCATGCATGGCCTGCATGCATAGGATAGGAAATCAAATGAGTCATTTCTTTCAAATATATAGATCATCCTTATTTAGTCAAGCCAAAATTTACTATACCTACATATATTTATATTCCATGATGCAATTTTGACTTGTTAATTAATGTGTAGATTGAGATTAACGGACCTTCAGAATATCTGACATCAATAAGCGGGACATATGGAGATTACGTTGGATTCAATGTGATCACATCATTATCATTCATAACCAATCTAACCACACATGGACCTTTTGGGGCCTCCACTGGGAGTTCTTTCTCCTTACCAATACAAGGTTCTCTTGTGAATGGATTCTATGGAAGAGCAGGCGATTTCCTTGATGCAATTGGCATCCATGCCAAACCGGTAAACATTTTTTCCTATAATATATATTAATAGGAAATATATAATTTTACTATGGCAAATAATTGGAAATGATGATGATGATGATGATGCAGTGGGATGACATAGAAGAAAGCATTTCAATAGGCCCATGGGGAGGCTCAGGTGGGAGTCCATGGAGTTATGCAACAAATGAAGGCATAAACCAGATAGTCATCAATGTCGGGTCAAACATCAAGTCCATATCATTCCAAGACACAACTGGTATTGCCTCTGCCACATTTGGGGGCAACAATCCCAATGATCTTGGTGAAAGGAAAACTGTAAGGCTTGTTCTGTTTACGGGAAAAAAAACTTTGTTAATTGAGCACTTGTATATATTTTGGTTTAATTTATATGCATGATGATTTGCTGCAGGTTCAAGTTAACTGGCCTTCTGAGCACCTGATATCCATAAGTGGGACTTATGGGCTATTTGCAAATATGCAAACGATCACGTCGCTGTCATTCACTACAAATCTAGCCACACATGGACCTTTCGGAGACAGTTCAGGCACTTCTTTCTCCATCCCTATAAGCAATAATACGATAGTTGGGTTCCATGGAATGGCTGGTGACTACCTTGATGCCATCGGCATCTTTGTCAAACCTGAAAATGCCATCTAATTCATGGTTTATATGAATGCCCGTACAATATTTACTGTTATAGTGTGTCGGTGTGCGAGTGTATTTTTAGCCGTCACGTGCGGTTGTTTTCAAGGGTTTTTGATAATAGCTCTTGTCTTGTTCGAGTTCTTGATGTTTGCATTCGATCTACATCCATGTTGTCGCGATTTTTCTGGAATAAATGTACTACTACTATTTTTAGTGGAATAAATGGGCTTCGATTTCACATGCTGTCCGTTTGTGTGTTGGATAATGACATCTTTGACTATGGGTATATATGTTCTCTGTTGGTTAAAAAATATAAATTTTTTTAATAAAATAATTACTTATTTTTAAATTAACATTATCTTTTCATATTTATTTTTATTTAATAAAATATTTTATTTTAAAAATATAAACTGATTTATTCAATAGGGACACTTTTAAAAAAATATAATAATTATACTTTAAAAGATTAAAAATATTTTATATTTTTTAATATTTAATTTTTTAAAAAAGTATTTATTTCTTTAAAGGAGGAAGTATATATATTGGTACAGTTGAAACTTAACACTGATTTGATCTGTTTCTCTTATACACTTAAAAACGACAAAATATGGTAATGATAACTTAGCAGAGCATTTAGGGCCATACCCCTTGATAAGCCACTCAGATGTTCTCTGTTTAATTATGCAAAATATGTTCGCAGATATCATCAGCATCGATCATTATCATGTCCACACCTGCTTTTAAACATGTGTTGCCCTTCTGATCAAGAGATCCGCATCTTCTATTAATTTTTCCATTTTTTTAATATTTCCATTTGCTACTTTTAAATGAGTGGGTTTGAATATCAAAGATTTAAATCTAGTTGAAGGAAGATAAAAATAACATTTTATATTTAGAAGATACACAATCATATCTTGTAATTAACCGCTCCTTAAATTTATACTTGAGAGAAATGGGTAAAGCCATTTTTCTTTTAAAATTTGTCATGTGCTTGGAGTAAAGCTGGTAATATAAGCCGCAGGTTGTAGGTTGTGCAGTAAGGATTGGCATAACCTGCATTCTTGCGGGTTGTACTTTTGCCCATCCTGTAATCTGCAGGGCTCTCTCTCTCTCTCTTACTTACTCACACGCATACATTTTTTTTCAATTTAAAAATTACAAATCCATCCCTTTTCATTATTTTTTTACTATAAAAAAATCATACTTTTTCCTAAAAACTAACTATCCAATTAATAATAAAACTCCTTCCAAATCATTAAAAAACACATTACAAATTTAAAATACATTAATATAATTCAAAATAAATATCTACTCCATCACAAATAAACATAATGCCTATTAGCTATATTTTAATTCGTTCCATTGTTCGCTTAGCTGTGGAGCATCATCTAATAATTTTAACAACTATTTTCATGAGCATGAAAAAATCTTATTTATTTGTGTGTGTTTTTATATAACACTATAAAATCCTTCAAATATGTGAAGATGTAAAACATATTTTTTACATGCACTGTACTTTAATTTAAAGCCTCTCTTCTTTTAATGCATAGTGCATGGTTACCAAATTGTATACTTGATGCACACAAAAATTTATAACTGCAAGTATACAGGTCAATATGTGATATATTAATGTGTCAAGATCGATCCCACAAGGAATCAAACAAAATAGTGATTAGGCAATAAATTCTCACTTTTATTTAGGTTAAGCAAAACCCATTGGAATTGATTAATTAACCAAATTAAAATTGCATTTAATAAAGACTCAACAAAATGCTTAAATCCAATAACCACGCAAGTAAAAAGCAGTTAGAGTCACTAATCCCTTATTAATGTCTTAGACTCCCTTTTAACCGAATTAATTAATTTCAAAGCTAATTTTGTTAATTGAGAGTTTTAATAGTTATTCGGGTCTTTCAATCTACTAACAACCCTTTCTTGAATTAATTATGTTATTTCTCACACAATTATTCAAGAGGCAACTCAACTCAAGAATACTCTATAATGATTATATGGGGCAATTAGATATATATCTATCCTAATTACAAATGAGATAAAATCTAATCCCATATTACTCAATTCAATAGTATAGATGAGATTTCCCTTTCTTAAGTAAAAATCCCAGCACCCAAAATCACATTTGATGTTGGCCAAGTATCAAATAGATATTAAAGCATAAGATTGAGTAACCAAAATTAACATTAAGCATAATTAATGGGTAAAAACGAGTCTAATCCATCAATAGATTCAAAGTTTCTCTAGGTCTAAGAGATTTAGCCACATATAAATCTAGAAATTGCAAAACTAAATAAAGAATAAATCAAAATGAAGAAGAGAAGGAGAAGAAAAGCTTAATCGGAGTGATTTTGAAGAAAAATTACTAATCTCCCATAAAATTCAAGCTTCTCCACCTCATTCATAATGTTTTCGCCCTTTCCCTAATCAGTTTAGAGTTGTTGAAGACGAGCCAAGGTGAAGAATGTCAAGCAAAAACGTACAGAACCCTAAAAATATTAGTTTATTATATTGGTTATTTAAACAAAGATAGCACAGCCATACTCAAAATGTAAACAAAGAGGTTAGAAAGCTTAGAACATGTGAGAGAGTAGAGAACTTGTATGAGAGAACTTGAGAACTTTATTGATTTGCTTCATGATTACAGATGAGAGGTGAGAGGATATTTGTAAACCTCCCTCATCTTCTAGAAAGTTTTCACCTCCTTAATGAATAGTAGAGATTAATTCAATCCAATGATCTATAATGATTCTCTAAAATAATCAATTATAATATATGGCTAACTATTCTAGATATTTACAAGGAGAATTTTAAAATATACACAATAAAGATATCCCTAGAATAATCTTAATATTTCTTACCATCTCTATATTATTCTAAAGATATCTAAAGTCTTTTTGGAGCGTGCCAGTATATTCCTAAAGACTCCAGTGCCTTCTTAATTGGTCCATATCACTCCAGTCTCTTCTGGATCATTCCAGAAGCTTCTTAAACATCTTAACGTTGCAAAATTTCTTACTTTCTCACATTATGCTCTAATGTCTAGGATGCTATGATTTGTTTTTAATTTCTAGCTTTGGCTTGCGAGTGTATGTAAAAAAAACAAAAAAAAAAAGAAGCATTCAAGTTGATGGAAAAAATTAAAAATAGGTAAAAGGACATGAACATGTAGGGCTAGCCTTGAGCCAAAGGTAGAAGTAAGCCAAGCCCCTATCAAAGGTCTACAAGCTGACCTGCTTCAAATCAGACCATACTTATTTACTAAATAGACTAGGTCAGGTTTTGGCCTTAGATTAGGCCTATTTAGGTAAATAAACTAGGCCTATGTTTACAAGACCTAGCCCACAAGCCTTATAAGCCAACTTATTTATATGTATATTATTGTATAATATATTACTTATATATAATAGGTAATATATAATATTAAATTTAGAAATTTGTATAATCAACTCCACCCTCTTTCCTCAGCCCCTTCTAGTTCTTCTCTAAGGTCAAAACTCGAAAGCACTAAGTAGTTCTTCTTAGCCCATGTTCTTTTTTATTGTATTTTGTATGACAAATGTATGATATAATAGTTCCATATTTGATTTTCAATCAAAATGTTACTTTTCATTTTCAGTTTCTTAGTTATGTTTTCAATTAAATTGGATTTATGCATGTATAGATTTCAATGTTATTGCTGTATTCACGGGCGAAACCAGCAGTGATAGTGTAGGGGGCCAAATTTCAGCTTTGATAATTTATTTTGTAAATTTTTTAATACTTAAAAGTAAAAATACTTTTATAATATAAAAATCATAAGATAATAATAATTGAGAATTGTACAATATTTTAAGAAATTATAAAACATTTAAAGTTAATTTATATTCCATCCATTCAGTATTATAAGGCATTTTTTTTAAGCATATTTAAAATATAAGACATTTTGAGTCTTACAAGATATAATTAATATGGTTTTTCAACAAATGTCCTTAATTATGAGTATAATTATTAAGGTTTTCTAATACAAACAACTTATTAAATAAGGATAAACATGAATATATAATTTTAAGGGCTATTAACTCACTTAGTTTGTGACATAAATTAGTAGATTTAAAAAAAAAAAAATTGGTGGGGAGATCACCCGACCCACACACATATTTATATACAAATTTATATGCAGGTGGTAGTGGGGTTAGGGGGTCATGGCTCCCTCACCACACACCTAAGTTCGCCCTTGGCTGTATTGTATCATGGTTTTATAACTCCTTTTGTTTATCATGTATAGTAGGTAAATCAATTGCATATGTATGTCAGTTTTAATAATTCTAAATTTTACATGAGACTTTTAATATTATGTAAATTTACTTAAAAGATTTATTTTTAAGTAAGCTTTGAATAGGCTTCCAAACCTATACAGTGGCTAAGCTCAAATTACTGACCTATTTCATGAGTTCAGGCTTATGCGGCTAAAGTCTAATTTGACCTAATCTATTTTCACCTCTATTTAAACCCAAGAATTCAAGGGCCAAGCTTTGCAAACAGGGTCTTAGAGGGTAAAGAGGCTTTTTAAGCCCAAGCTCATCAAGTTCTGTCCAGTTTTTCCAGTTTTTGAACTCCTTCAAAAATCAAAATATCTTATTATTTGGCAAAGGAATAGTATTATTTAAAATGGTCTCCAAAACTTGACTTTCAATCTAAATCAAACAAAGCACTCAGGTCTTATAATCAAATAAATCTCAAATCAAATGAAACGTTCTCTCATGACAGTAGAATCTCAAAGCCAAATGAAAAATCGCTAAATACAATAGGAGTCGGACAAAAAGATAACTTAAAAAATCAACCAGAGTATGCTCTAAAAACACATGATTAATATCCCACCTCAAACCACAGAGTAAATTCAAAGTTAGGAATAAGAACAAAGAGAATGGAAGATGGGAATGGAGCTTGAAATCAGATCCTCGCTATCTGGAACCCAGATGCCCGTGGTTCAGAGAAGACGGAGTCGGAGACGAGGCGAG